TGAGCACTTCTACTGTACAAGTGAATGGCCTTTATCTATTTCTGGGGGAGAGGGTAAAGTTTTGTACTTTGATTATCTAGTTCTCATTGTATGAAATGCTTCTCTGTGCACAGAGTCAGGTCCAGCCTCAAGACATTTTGCTGCCTATTGCAAATCTCAGTTTGAGGTACCTGACTTTAATGCTGAAGTCAGCATTGCCCATTGAACTTATGGGCAAGAGGCTAGCATATGGGACTCAAGAGGGAAGAGGGGCAGGGCTGCTGCTGCTGCCGCCACCGCCACACCAGAATCTGCCACCTGAGGCAGCAACCTCACTCCACCTAATGGTATAACCAACACTGTACATAGTGTATTGCACCCCAAAGGATACAAAGAGTACAAGTTCTCTCTCTCTCGCTCTCACTCTCGCTCTCCACACACACACACACACACACACACACACACACACAATAATGATGGGCATATTGTTAACAACAGTGGGAAAATTAGAGTGTGTGCCCCTAGTTAGACATAGAGCTGATTTTTTAAAAAACCACTTAACATACAATTAAATGCACTTCTACAAGAGCTTGTCAGAGTCTCTTATGCTACACAGCACTAACACTCTGTATAGAAACAGCTTGAGAATACTAACACTGACAAATGTTAATATCCCATGACACAACTAGGCTTGGCTATCTATTAGCACCTTCAGGTTCTAGGGAAAAAACAACTGTTTACTTGCAAGAATGATGCTCTTCAAAATATAAATTATGACAGGAACAGGGGGCATTGTTGGCAGTGATGTGATCTGCAGAAAGACAACGAAAAGGCCTGGGTTGGAAATCCACAGACTGAAAGTACGGAAGGAGACATCTGGGCTCGTAGCAAGCTTTGCAAGCATGCAGTAAGGGGCCCAGTTCAATTCCCAATTCTAGGTAGGCCTGGGAAAGACTCATACCTGAAACGCTAGAGAGTCACTGCCAGTCAATCAAGACAAAACTGAGCTAGATGCACCAATGGTCTGACTTTAAAAAAGGCAGATTCCTGTGCATGAGAAAGAGCCATAGTTCTGTGGAAGAACAAATGGCTTGCATACAGAGGATTTGGCTTCAGTTCCTATCAGCTCCAGGCAGGGCAAGGAGAAATTCCCCTTTTGAAATCCTGGAGAACTGCTGCCAGTCAGTGTAGACAATATTGAGCTAGATGGACCAATTGTATAAGACAGTTCCCATGCATGTCACGCCTTGCAGGGCTGAAGTGACAAGGATTGCCAATTTTTAACTGGCTCTTCTTTCTGTGCCTCTAGCAGCCATTTGATCTGCATCTATTTACAGTGGTACCTCGGGTTAAGTACTTAATTCGTTCCGGAGGTCTGTTCTTAACCTGAAACTGTTCTTAACCTGAAGCACCACTTTAGCTAATGGAGACTCCTGCTGCTGCTGTGCCGCCGGAGCCCAATTTCTGTTCTCATCCTGAAGCAAAGTTCTTAACCCAAGGTACTATTTCTGGGTTAGCGGAGTCTGTAACCTGAAGCGTCTGCAACCCGAGGCACCACTGTACTCTATATACAGTAAGTAAATCCAATCTATATATATTGAAAATGTATATCACTCCAAGGAGATCATGGTTGTACACAGGGTCCTCTCACCCTCCCCTCCTGTTTTAACTTCGTAACAGGCAGGTTAGGATAAGGGATAAGTGACCAGCTCAAAGTCACTCAGTGAGAACTTCATGGTTAAGTGGGAATCCTAGTTATGACATGTGTGAACATGCTGGGAATGTGGTCTTGGGAGAACACATCTTTGTTTGAGACTATCCTGCCATGTGATACCCAAAATCTTCTTGACACAGTGCATGTAGAAGGTATTGAGGCATTGCTCCCGGGGGGCGGGGTGTAAGTTGCCCCCGATGCACTACCATAATGCAGCATGCTCAACATACAAGCCTAGTAGACCTTCATCTTGATATTGGTTGTTTGGGTACTAACTATAAAAATGATCTTCCTTCAATTGGCTTTAAAGTGCTTTGTTTTTCAGTTTCCACATTTTTGTCATTTTGCTGGGTAGAAATCAGTGGAGTACAGCTGATGGGACTGTAGTTACCTTACCTGGTTCATTGACAGCAGAATTTAAGTGTCCCCTAAGCCCTGAGGGAGGGGACTGAGGATTTTGAAAGATCTGGTAACTGATCTCCCACATTTGACCCTTAGGCTTCAGCTTCTACTTCAGACCATTGCTGTTTTATGGGAAAGTTTTATTGTTTTACTGCTGTTTTACTGTGATTGTTTTAACTTTTATATTCTTGTAGACCTCCTTGGAAGTTCACTGAGCAGAAGAAGACTGGCCTTTTCAATAAGTAATACATTGGCCTCAAAAGCCAGTGCAGGATTCGCTGCAGCACAGTAACTATATTTATTTACTTACAGTGGTACCTTGGTTCTCAAATGCCTCGGTACTCATACAACTTGGAACCCAAACACTGTAAACCTGGAAGTAAGTATACCGGTTTGCGAACTTTTTTTGGAAGCCAAACGTGCTCTGTTTTGAGTGTTACACTTCCATTTTGAGTGCCACACTTCTGTTTTGAGTGCCACTTCCATTTTGAGTGTTACGCTGAGGTCTGTCTGGTTTTGCTATTTATTTTGCTTTTTTGTTTCTGCTGCTCTTTTTTGTGTGTGACTGTGTGGAGCCCAGTTCAGCTGCTTGAGTGACTGCAGTGCATTGTTTATTGCTTTCATTTTATGAATCAATGGTCTCGTTAGATAGTAAAATTCATGTTAAATTGCTGTTTTAGGGGTTGTTTTTAAAAGTCTGGATCAGATTAATCCATTTTGCATTGCTTTCTATGGGAAAGTGCCCCTTGGTTTAGAAACGCTTTGGTCTTGGAACAGACTTCTGGAACGGATTAAGTTTGAGAACCAACGTACCACTGTATTTTGTTTTAAATATTTCCAATGGGGTGCTGCTTGCAGTTCATTCCTGTAAACAAAATCTACATGAAATAAGCAAGGCAATAAAAATGTATATATTCCTTAAAGCCCTAATGTTAAATATTAATATTAAATGAAGACAATGTAGCAGCTACAGAAAAGTACTGGACTATCCTAATGCTGGTGGTGAATCACGGTATGAAAGCAGAAATGTTAGAAGTGTGTAAGAAAAGGTTTTGGGGAACCTCAAAGCAGGGGTAGCTAACTCCTCTTCTCAAGGCCTGATCTGGTCCCCAAAACAAAATTTTATGCCACTTCCCAAGAGTCCAATAATTTTGCCAGCGGAAGCAAAAACTAAACAGACTCAGTTCTGTGGTTAGCAGAGTGATTTAAACAATCTACCCAGCCCAATGTCTTTATGGTGTAGAATTCCATGGCTTTGGGAAGGTTATTGGTTCTCTCTTCTTTAAGGAAACATTGCAACAGATCTGCCCTAATGTCAGGAAGCAGGAGAACTTCAATACTGTAGTTGTGTTTATTTATGAACAACAGATCAGCAACTCAGGGGAGCAGCTATTGCAGTGTTGTGGCTAGAGTGTCAGACTAAGATCTGGGAGATCAAGGTTCAAATCCCCACTTAGGCCTTGGGCCAGTCACTCGCTCTCAGCCTAACCTACCTCGCAGGGGTGTTGTGATAAAATGGGGTGGGGGGGGAGAGGAAAACTGTGTACACCACCTTGAGTTGCTTGGAGGAGAGGTGGGATATAGGTACAGTGGTACCTTGGGTTAAGAACTTAATTTGTTCTGGACCTGAAACTGTTCTTAACCTGAAACTGTTCTTAACCTGAGGTACCGCTTTAGCTAATGGGGTTTCCCGCTGCGCCGCCAGAATATGATTTCTGTTCTCATCCTGAAGCAAAGTTCTTAACCCGAGGTACAACTTCCAGGTTAGCGGAGTCTGTAACCTGAAGCGTTTGTAACCTGAAGTGTCTGTAACCTGAGGTACCACTGTATAATAAATAATACACAGGCAAGACTAAAGTTCCAACCAGTTCCTAGTGACCCACACACCAAGAAAGAGGATGGTCATTTGTACTGGAGAGAAGGCGCATCTGTTAGGCCACACCCACTACAGATGGGGATGCAACATTCTCCTGCTCTAATCATCCTGTCAGAAATACCCTGATTCCTGCTTGAGCACATGTGTGAGTGTGGGTTGGTCACATCTATCTGTAGCCACAGCCAACCTTGGGGTATTGAAAGACATAACACATTTTTATTACAGCATTGATGGAGATGGGTTGATTCTGTAAATTAAAATTTAAGCCTTCTGTCCCATGTGTGTGGAATATGTGAAGCCCTTTTTAGCTTATGTGCTTTTGCAGCATTAGGCAATTTCATGTCTTATCCCTGTTTACTTGTGATCTGCTTACCTTGCCCTTGTTTGCCGCCATTGTTAAGAATAAACTTTTGTGGACCTCATACACAAGTGTACAAGAGCGCCTTTGATTCCATTTGTGAAATGAGAGAGGTGGCAATGTCTGAATAATATCCTAACTTCATTTTCAGAGCCAGGCTTTCCCGCCTCTAGTTCAAAGAAATAGCATTTCTCGTTTTGAAAAAAGGCCACAGCTGTTGGTTCCCTTAAGATTGCTGATGGAAACTGAAAGACACTTACAGATGTTGTCCAATTTTGTTTGAAAAAAACCTCTAGCACCGTGATCTGCTTGCCTCTGCGCCATAAGCAGAGGACCTTTCTTCAGTGAATGAAGCTACCATCATAGCCGTCAACTTTTCCCTTTTTAAAAGGGAAATTCCTTTATTCCGAATAGGATTCCTCGCAAGAAAAGGGAAAAGTTGACAGCTATGGCTTAGTAAAATGAACCTAAAAACGCAACCCACCCCCCTTGAGCACGTGCTGATTGGTCCGCCATACACCCTGGGATGGGGTGTGTGTGGAAACCCCTTCTAATAAAAGTCCCTATGGACATGTGCAGACCGCCTGCTCTAATTAAGTATTAATATTCCTATTACATTACATAAATGTCTCGCCACCACCACACACACACACACACACGACATCGCTCCAAATTATTTGTGGTGGGATTCTGGCTAGGGCAGGTGAAATTGTGTCTTGCTTGGCAACCCCAAAACCTGCAAAGGACGATCGCCCTGAATGCGGGTGGGAGGAAACATCAGACCTACCGTAGATGCAAACCAACCACTCCAAGCAGAACCCGAGAGCGACGGCAACGTGAGCGGGAGGGAAGTTAAGAGCGTGACACCCGCATCTGCCTCGCGGGAGCCATGGCAACTGCAGCGAGCGGCCTTCGACAGGGAGCGAGGCGGGCTGGGCTTTGATTCAAAGCCAAGCAGCATTTAGGTGAGAGGCTCGCGGGGGGGTTGAAAACAAATGCATGTAGCCAGTCTATCTCTGGCGTTTCCTCGTCTTGGGAAAAGGAGGCCCAAAACGCCTACTCCCCCCCCTCTTATTGTGTCTCCCCCCTCCTGCATTTAAGAAGAGAGGATTTAGTCACGAACGCTCCCCCTTTTTTCAGAGTTATCATTTAGCTCTGCGTCGCTGTGCTAGGATGTAGCAGCTGCTTAACCTGGCAACCAGCTGCCCAGCTTTTATCGGCTGTGGCTGCTTTTATTAATACTGGTCTACCTTACAGGGGTGTTGTAAACACAGGAGTGCTGAGTTAGGCCGTTGGCCCATCTACCTCGGAATTATCTACCCTCTACAGTTCACCATCTGGCAGTGGCCACCCCACCCCCTGGGGTTTCAAGCACGGGTCTGTTCCTGGAGATGCTGCGTTTTGAACCTGAGACCTTTTGCAATGCAGAGCAGATGCTCTGCCCCTGAACTATGTGGCCCTTTTCTCATAGGTCCTATGTGAAATGAGTGGTGAATAGTAATAGTTATCACAATCACATATTTGAAAGGTTCAGAATGCTTTGTACAGTGGTACCTTGGGTTACATACGCTTCAGGTTACAGACGCTTCAGGTTACAGACTCTGCTAACCCAGAAATAGTACCTCGGGTTAAGAACTTTGTTTCAGGATGAGAACAGAAATCGTGCAGCGGCGGTGCAGCGGCAGCGGGAGGCACCATTAGCTAAAGTGGTACCTCAGGTTAAGAACAGTTTCAGATTAAGAACGGACCTCCGGAATGAATTAAGTGGTTAACCTGAGGTACCACTGTATTCAGTTAAAAACAGCTCTGTACAGGCAACTACCCATTTATGTGTGTTAAAGGCACTGCGCATGCACGCATCACCACGAACCCAGAAGTGGCACCCCAAAAGAGCAAAAAAACAGCAAAAAAACAAAACAAGAGAAAGTGCCTAGCAATCCTTTGGGCACGCAATCTTGAGAGCCCTTGCACCAGTACCTTTGAGACTTGTGGAGAGTTGGAGTTTGAGCAAGGAGGTTTGGAGGGAGCAGTTGTGGTGTTTGCAGGCTTTTTCTATGGTGTTCCTGATATATATGATTTCTCTTAAATGTGTGGTCTGTGAAGCTGTTGACCTAACTCTTAGTCCTTATTCCCAGGCAAAACAATAGGTAAAGGTAAAGTACCCCTGCCCGTATGGGCCAGTCTTGACAGACTCTAGGGTTGTGCGCTCATCTCACTCTAGAGGCCGGGAGCCAGCGCTGACCGCAGACACTTCCAGATCACATGACCAGTGTGACGAAGCTGCTCTGGCGAACCGGCACCAGAGCAGCACACGGAAACGCCGTTTACCTTCCTGCTATAAAGTGGTACCTATTTATCTACTTGCACTTAAGGGTGCTTTCGAACTTCTAGGTGGGCAGGAGCTGGGACCGAACGACGGGAGCTCACCCCGCCGTGAGGATTCGAACTGCCGACCATGCGATCGGCAAGTCCTAGGCGCTGAGGTTTTACCCACAGCGCCACCCGCGTCCCTAGTAGGCAAAACAATACGTAATCCTGAATACACATGGGAATAAGCTTCACTGACCGCAACAGAATTTGCTTCTGAATGAAGAAGCATCAGGATGTGCTGTCAGGATATGTAACTGCATCTGTGCAGATCTCACCTGTCCCTTTGTTGCCATAGCCTGAATTTAGATTGCCTGCTGAAGTCACCCAAGTATTCTAATTTGTTCCCGACTATAAACTTGCCTGAAGTTGTCAGGAACATGCCAAGTTGGTCCTTTTTAAACATGGACAGAAGGTAATTTCTGCTGCGCTGCTAAACTGTGCTTGGGTGCTTAAATAAAATAAAAGAGCATTTATCCAGTATACCTTCTGGATACATGATAGTCCTGATAGCATAATTGAAGTAAAATGCATTTGTGCTTGTTTAAAAAATATGGGACCTTATCTTCTCAATTCTTTTAGAGGGTTACTTCTTTATGTATGAAGGTTTTTTGCTTTTAAAATTAGGCTATCAGTGTGCAAATATTTCTTATAGAATATGTAATTTTTATCATGCTAACGTGTACTAGAGGCAGTTTGATCTTAGTTACAGAAAAAGGAATTGTATTTCCCTGCTAGAGTTAATTGTTTTGCTTGTGGTGGTGGATTTTTTCTTTTATTTTGATGCTGGTCTGCCTCTGTAAAGAAAAAAAGCTTAACAAAATAGAATCTAAAGTACCTGCCAATTTTTCTGGGCTTGTAGGATATATAAGTACAGTGGTACCTCGGTTTAAGGACAGTCCGGTTTAAGAAAGATTTGGTTTACAAACTCCGCAATACCGGAAATAGTGTCTTGGTTTGAGAACTTTACCTTGGTCTAAGAACGGAATCCGAATGGTGGAAGGGCACCGGCGACGGGAGGCCTCATTAGGAAAAGTGTGCCTCGGTTTAAGAACGGTTTTGGTTTAAGAACGGACTTCTGGAACCGATTAAGTTCGTAAACCGAGGTACCACTGTATTAAGCAATACATCTTTTTTAAAGCTAGAGGTGGGAAACTGCTCTGAGTGCTCTGTCACTTGAAAATATGTTCAAGTGATACAAAACCTTTTATTATATGCTTCTCTGTTACTCATCCATGTATTTCCAGACCTTATCTGTGACCATTAATTTTTTTTATAAAAATAATAATACTTGCAGCATTAGTCTGTTTAGTGTGGACAGGCAATTCCCTATTGATGTTCCAGGGTTACTGTGTCTTTTAATTAAAAGTTTTATCTAAGTATTTATGTAAAGTTTGCAGAGTAAAAAAACAATGATAGTGAATATCACTTGTATTCGCATGTGTGATTTCAATTTCTGACGAGGAGCATGCAGCAATTTCTCACCCAAAAGACTCACGCTATTGTCACTCACTCTGATATCTTCCTAATACTAGGCAGAGGCTCTTAATTTTCACAGGCTTTAAAGCTTTTCAACCTATTCACTTTTATGGTTTATTTATGGAGTGCTGCTTTAATAGAGTTACAGTTTTGTGTTTTGCTTATTTTAATGCATTAATTGTTGTATGATGTTTTAAAGATTTTATTGTAAGCTGCCTTGATAATGTATTTGTAGGGCAAAGTATACATCTAAAATGTATTTCACAAGTTCTTAGGATATACATTGACTGCCATGTTGTTTTTGATTCAAAATTATTGAACCTAAATGGCTTGAGACTGGGATACCTGAATTACTGTCATATTCTGTAAGAACCAAATGGCCTTGGTGCCCTAGTTATGAAATTCAGTGCCAAGCAAATTTGTCTGGTGTCATGATTACGTACTGTCTTTTCAGTATCAGGCAAACTTCTTTTTACCTGTGCTTTCAATGCCCAGTACAATGGTACCTCGGGTTAAGAACTTAATTCATTCCAGAAGTCTGTTCTTAACCTGAAACTGTTATTAACCTGAGGTACCACTTTAGCTAATGGGGCCTCCCGCTGCGGCCGCGCCGCCAACATGTGATTTCTGTTCTCATCCTGAAGCAAAGTTCTTAACCTGAGGTACTATTTCTGGGTTAGCAGAGTCTGTAACCTGAAGCGTCTGTAACCTGAAGCGTCTATAACCTGAGGTACCACTGTAATTTTACTCCTTCTGTTTCTTTTTTGTGCTCCTTTTTTTTTTTTTTTTGGAGGGGAGGGTGGTTATTCACATGTGTTAGGTGCTTTTTTAATAAGCTACATTAAGCCTTGTTTTAAGAGAAATTGGAGTATAACATTTCATAAAACAAATAATGACTGCAATGGGGCACAAACTTTTGTGTACTAGTAATCCTCAAAAACTTTTAGGTCACAATAAATAGATTGTAGTTCAGTTAGCCTTACTCCCAGGTACACACAGCATTGTAGCCTTAAGTTTGTACCCAGTGTTAGTCATACTGGGAGTAAAACCATTAAAATTAATGAATGTGACTAACAGATCCATTAATTTCAATGGGTCTGCTTTGAGTGTGAATTTGGATGCAGCCATTAGTCTCTAAGATGCCACTTATTATTTTACTTTTTGCTACAACAGACTAACATGGTTATCCTCTTGGATTTTATTCATAAATGTGGGGGTTGTGCAATTAATCACTGGTGGTATTGCTGCATTTCAGACTAATATTCAGAGTTCATTGTTGACCGTTGTGCTGACAGTGTACAGAGTGATATTTTTCTATTAGCTCCCTAGTATTACATCTATAATTAATTTTGCATTGATTATTTTTAGTTGAACATCCTTGTAACTAGCTGGGCAGACAACTCTGGGATGCATGTATCAGAGCAGATGGACCTGAGGAGGCATTGCAGCAGCTCCATCCCAGACTATTCAGAGGATACGTTTACATCTTTCAGTGAAGGAGAGGAGGAAACCTACAGACAATATGAAAATGACCCATTTGAATCTTATTACTCTGGAGAGGAGTCAGAATGCCGTGCTGTGTTGGATCTGTCTGAAAGCATATGGCAATCATCAAGTCAAAATGATGAAGGTGTGTTAGGTTCCCTATGCATTTTTATCAGTTCTTCATTCAATCCTATGATTAGTGGGAGGAGACTTAGATCAGCAAAAATGCAAAGGAAAGCAGAAGGGGGGAAGACAGAGAAAGGGAAACGTCATTTGCAGTGTTCACAGCAGAACACTCAGAATACTGGTTTACCAGATCAGAATGTTATTTTTGCTGAAGACACTTAGCAATACTGTACAGGAAGCATTATGTGCCAAGGAGGAAGTGTAGATGTTTAGTGGTGGTGATGGTAGAAAGACCTTCCATCTTCCATATGTCTTGGGTTCACCTGAGTAAGTGCAGGTGATCACTAACTTCCCTTTGCTAGGGTGACAATTGTGGACAGACAAAGCCCTCTGCTAATGTAAGAGAAAGGCAGAGATGTAGGAGGCAACTAATACAGGAAAAGCTGAGGAATCCTGCACCCATTTCAGGTTCTGTACTTGTGCCATCCTTTCACACCAGTGATAACTACTTGAGCAAAACAGTGCAGAAGGCTCTACACACATTTTCCTCATACAAGCCTGCTCTTAGTTCATGTTGTACAGCCAGACCATTCAGCCCAGGCTAACAGTGGCTGCATGCCCATGTGTTGCAGCAGCAGGGAAGGGTGGACATGGCAAGAGGTGGTAGCTATTCTGTATAAGCATTAATGTGAAAAGTGGATGACATGCCATCTAAAGTATATTTACGCAGAAAATTAGCCCTAATGAGTTCACTAGCACTCAATTTAAGGAGAGCATAGGATTGCAGCCCTACTGTTCATCCTGTGTACATTTAATTGAGCGTAACATCTATTGTGCATGGAATGAATATGAATATAAGAAGTGTGGGGGCTAAACTGGACCTGCACCTGGTTCTATGTCAGGTGGCTTTCCTTCTTTGATTCCTGTGATTTCCAGGGCATGTACATTACAGGAAAGTTGCCCCATGTGAAGGCCTGTTTATTACTCCTTTGTGTGTGTGTGCATGTTTTACTCTGTTCCAACACTGTCCTCCTACATACATTTCCTTTTCCCCCCAGATCAAAAATCAGAAGTTTTGGAATCTGCAGTTGTAAGAGAATATTTAACTAGAAAATGGATCAGTCTCCTGAAAGAAAACAAGGCTAGCACTCGGCTAGCTAAACCTGCCATTGAACCAATTAACAGTGAGTCAATTTTTAGATGTAACTTGTAAATCAATCAATCAATCAATCAATCAATCAATCAATCAATCAATCAATCATTCATTCATGCATTCATTCATTCATGTAGTCCATTTGACTGTTGGACAGTCTGTACTCACTTCCAGTCTTCTTCTTCTTCCCTGCAAAGGATTTGAACATAATTTCTAAGTGAGGCCACCACTGCAACTCAATGAAGCTTGCAGGGACTTCCTTCTTTCCCCTGATAAGCATCCTCTTTCTGCTTTTCAAATTCCCCAGCTTCAGTTCTTTGAAATAATTTGTGGGCCTGGTGTCTTTTGGGCAAGGGGGAGGGAGTGAATCTGCCCAGTAGATTGTGACTCACCTCCACCACCATTATTCCTAATCTGTCCTTCACCCTAAGGTTCTAGGGTACATTACAACACACTAGTAAAAACCATGTCGGAGTGAGTTCTGGAAGACCTGCTCCCTGCCTTGCAAGCCTCCTCCATCTGGCCTGGGAGGTAGGGGCCCTGACTGAAAAAAGCTGAGGCTTTTGGGCTGGGATATTGTTTAGTGGTTTTTGTTGGGGGGAGGTGTCACTGTGAGTTTTTTGTATGTTTATATTAGATACTGTGATTTATTTGGAAATTGTTTAGTTTGGTTGTGTATTTTCAAATATTTTAGGTATTGTTTAACTATTTTTGTTATGTTGTAGCTACGTATTTTTTCATGTCTTGAGCATGGTTTGAACTGTGCAAAGGTGGCAAAAAAGATGTAAAAACAGATTAAAGCAAGTTACAGTCATAGAAATTGTTTACTCAGAGGTCTCAGGCAAATGTCCAACAACCAGAGATGCTTAAAAAAAAATTAATTGGAATTGCCAGGGAATGCAGTTGGAACATATGCACACACAGTGCATGCCTGTCTTGCCATTATTGGCTTTTTGGTCTTTTGGCCATTATCTCAGCTGCTTTGTGAGGAGGCCTTTGTGTGATACAGTGTGACCATTTTAGCTGTTTTCATTATTGGAAGTTTTTGCATTTTTATTTCGTCATAGCATTTGGGTGCTTCCCAAGTTTAAGTGTGTGCATTTGAAGCAATGATTCAAGCGAATAAGTTGATGCAAATGCAGCTGGTAGGTCAAGGGTGGGAACCTCTGGCCAAGCCATGCCTGCTGGCCTTTCACTTGACATCATATATTACTTAAGGTAGGGCAGGTAAGGACATGGCTGGGCCAAAGTGGGTTTGCATGGGCAAAAAACAGCTCACATGCAGTGCTGTAGCTAGTAGCTCGGTTACCTAGGGCGGTGCGTGTGGATGGACACAAGCCCCATGCTGCTGTTTCGGGCAGCGCACAGCCTGCAGGCGCCCAAGCCACCGCATCACTCCCAGAAGAGACAAGTGGCTCGGGCAGGCCCCGTGGTAAGTGCCGCCCCCCACACTGTGGTGCCCAGTGTGCCCTGCTTCCACACACCCCTACCTACGCCTCTGCTCACATGTCATCATTGTACTCCATCCGACTGCTAAACCTAATAACAATTATTATTATTATTATTATTATTATTATTATTATTATTATTATTATTTATTATTATTCTACCCATCTGATTGGGTTGCCCCAGCCACTATAGGTGGCTTCCATCAAATTAAGGCATCAAACACAGCAAAACATCAAACATTAGAAACTTCCCTATACAGGGCTGCCTTCAGATATCTTCTAAAAGTCAGATAGTTGTTTATTTCTTTGACATCTGACAGGAGGACATTCCACAGGGCTGGAGCCACTGCTGAGAAGGCCCTTTGCCTGGTTCCCTGTAACTTGACTTCTCACAGAGAGAGAACCATCAGAAGGTCTTTGGAGCTGGACCTCAGTGTCCGGGCTGAACTATCTATGGGGGTGGAGACGCTTCTTCAGGCATGCAGAGCTTAAGCCATTCAAGGCTTTAAAGTTCAGCACCAACACTTTCAATTGTGCTCGGAAATGTACTGGGAGCCAATGTAGATCTTTATGGACTGGTATTATATGGTCCCGGCAGCCGTTCCCAGTCACCAGTCTGGCAGCCTCACAGAGGATTGAGGAGATAAAAATCGAAATCCAGTTCCACACCCCTGTGCTAGATGATTGACTGGAACTAGCTGCATGGAATGTGTCTTGTTGGTGGTAGACATATTTCCAGTGGCTTATTGTATATTTATTAGGGTTGCCATATGTCCGGAATTTCCTGGTTATAGCTGGTATTCAGCCCTCATAAACAGCGTCCGGGTGGAAATTGCTAAAATGTCCGGGAACATCTGGACATAAGGGAGTCCGTGTTGGAAGTGTAGATTTTGGCGAATTTCATTAAAAAAAAAAAAGCTCAAAACCCCCCCCCCCCTTTTGAGATTTTGCAGAAAAAGTTCAACAGCTTTGGGTAAAACTAAAAATGACTTTGCCCATCCAAAAAGAAAGCTAAACAATTTTGTGCTGTGTTCAGATTTTCACTTTTTGAAATATGGCAACCCCATATTTATGGGTACATAAATCTTGATTTTAACTGTTAAAGCCTCTACAGAAAGCTTTGACAACAAGCACCAGCCTACAGAATTCTGCCTTCAAAAGTGTTAGCATAGGTTCCTTGACTTGGCTTTCTGATCTTCTAGCAAAAACTCTATTAAATTGTGTTATGTTTGGGTCAACCAATATAGTCTTAATCACACCAGTAGCATCTTGCGAATACTCCTTTGAAGACAGAACAGTAACAGAACAGTGAAATAACTGCATATGCTTTTATATTCTAAAGCCCCAAAATGCATCCCTGGGTTTTAATAAATGCTGGAATCTACAGCCACAAGAGCCTCTTACAATTTGTTTTATCCACTTGGAATTGGTAGGGACAGCTTCTTAATCGTTTTTATGCATAATTGAAGATTAGCTACAGGATAATTAAGGCCTACTCACTAAGCCCAGGAAAACTTAGCAAAGATTATGGGATAATACATACAGTGACTTGCAATCTCGATCACATGCTGTCTGTACAGTGGTACCTCAGGTTAAGTACTTAATTCATTCCGGAGGTCCGTTCTTAACCTGATACTGTTCTTAACCTGAAGCACCACTTTAGCTAATGGGGCCTCCTGCTCTGCCGTGCCGCTAGAGCACGATTTCTGTTCTCATCCTGAAGTTCTTAACCCGAGGTACTATTTCTGGGTTAGCGGAGTCCGTAACCTGAAGCGTCTGTAACCTGAAGCGTATGTAACCCAAGGTACCACTGTAGTCCATTGGCAGTAGGAGTACAATATGGGCATGTCTTTAAGTTAACACCTTACATTAGAAACTTGACAGTACCAAATTATCAAAGCTTATTCACCAAAGCCAGACTAAACGTCTTTCCTTCTGCAGTGTTGGATGGCAGGTTGAGAGGAGTTCTCTACCAGAATAGACTTTGCTCGTGTGCCCAAGACATCGATTCCATACAACATATTTTGCTGCACTGTTCGAAATACGAGCAAGCCAGGGTTGAACTGATACTACCCTTGCTGGAACCTTTCCTGGGAAAATCAGAGGCTCACTATGTCAGGTTCCTATTGGAAGACCGGACAAATGCTAGAACATTCGCAATGGCGAAGTTTTTATCAGTGGTTGCATGAACCAATGATACCTATCTCTAAGTCTGAACAAAATGTTTGTTTAACGTGGAGGTAGGCTGTCTGAATTGTGTATTGTTTTGTAACGATTTGTTGGGTCTCTGGACCGTAGTAATGATTGATTGATTGATTGATTGATTGACATAGCAATTTGTACGTTTGAAGTATCCCTTTTCAGGTAATGCTGCAAAAAAAAAAAAAAAATCCAGCCTTTGAGTGATACTGTGAAAGATGACTCAAATGTTTACTTATGAAATGCCCTAGATAGCAGTGTGCTTGAAATTACCCATTGAGGTTCCCTGAACGAACAAATGTCCATAAACCCTGCTGAGAAATCCCTTTAATATTTTCAAGGTGTTTTGCAATATCTGTTACAAACTTTGAGTTTGGGCATGTTGTGATTGCCAGCAACACATTTTCCTCTGTTCCCCTGTTTATGTGTATTTAGTTTAAATCCAATGATAGATAATTTGTTATAGTTTGGTTGGTCATAATCAAGGTATTGCCCTTCTGTGGGTTTTATATATATATTTCTATTGGGCCAACATGGCTTTCTGCGGCTCTTGACATAAATTATAGTGGTACCTTGTGTTAAGTACTTAATTCGTTTCAGAGGTCTGTTCTTAACCTCAAACTGTTCTTAACCTGAAGCACCACTTTAGCTAATAGGGCCTCCTCCTCCTGCTGTGCCGCCGGAGCACGATTTTTGTTCTCATCCTGAAGCAAAGTTAACCCGAGATACCACTGTACAAGGAATGTGAAATACAATCAACATAGGCTGGCTTATTTGTAAATCCCATTCAATTCAGTGGTCTTGTACCAGATCATTACTTGGATAAGGTCTATAGCTTTCTTTTTAATTCCATTTTTCAAATGACCCTCTGGGCCCTCTCCTGGCACCAGCTGTTCACTGGGAAGGGAGGGGAAACCGTTTCTGCAGAATTATCTTCCTTGCAAATACAGGTAGCCATTTACACAGAGGTTACTTTCGAAGGCACCATGCGCTGGTGAAATAATGTATAATTGAAACCCATTGAAAAAGGCTCCAAACACCCCACTCTGCCCCCATATTGAATGTGCGTAAATGGGGGGCTGCCTGTATGCATAAAATAGTCTCTGCAGCTTGCAATTGCAGCCATATAATATATGGGATGCAGTTGAATTTTGTAGTTTGATGCTTTAAGTATCTGTTAGACAGGGTTTGCAGTTCAGTAGTTAGTAGACATTATATACATTCTTCTGCTGAGATTGTGGAGTTCTTTTTTGCCTTTTGCACAGTTGTTGCAGATAAAAAAGAGTGTTGGAGAGTTTTAGTTTCCTTTTTTTTACAAACTTTGTAAAAAGTCTGCGAAATGAATGACAGGTGAAACTTCAGCATTTTCATAGAACTGTAGAGTTGGAAGGGACCCTGAGAGTCATCTAGTCCAACCCCTCAATGCAGGAATATCATTTAAAAACAAACAAACCAGAAAAGCACTAGCATTGTATATGAATATAATTTATTTAAGGTTGACCAATGAAAATAAAATTTTAAAGAATCTAACATACATAGGATCTTTATAAGATAAAAAGAAATCAGAAAGCAATTACAACCTTCTAAGAGAAATTGCAGTGTTTAGAAATTTTGCAACTTGCTTTGTAAAACAGCAACAACAATAATTAGAGGACCACCACCCCCGCCAAACAATCAGCAGAGACTCTTAAAATCATCCTAGAAATTATCTTGCCCACCATTAAAGAATACAATGACTACATATAAACAAAGCATGAGGCACTACTCCACCTCTTCTTTATTACAAAGAAACCATCTGCTATCTACAGGAGCTTCTTACAGCTACCCTTTAAAAACATTGAGGATAAGGTATTAAAGTTTGTTATAAAAAAAAAAAAGTTTTCCTGTATTTCAGAACAGATACCCAGTTCGAATAAGATATACCATTCTCATAAATAGAGGCAGGTAAACCTTGCACCCAGGGCTTGGACTGCCAAACTTGTCAGCAGTGCACCTGTGGAGCTACAGGTCCCCAGCTGAGCATAGCTAGGGCTGTGAGCATGTGGCCCTCTTGCAAAAGCCCACATCCCACTGGTGGTCTGTTCAGGAAGGGGAGAAAGAAGCCCTCTCTCATCTGTCATCCATGGATGAGCTGTTTTGGTTATTATCTATATGCATCCAAAGCCCCAGCTGTTTAATGCATAATCTGTTGGATTAGAGCCTAATAGCTGCCTAGAATTATTTTCTGAATATTTTTTCATGTATTTTCCTCATGCACATTGTAATTTCTGATTTAAAAGGAGTCAAATTAAGCAATTATCTGAAACTGTTTTCATTAATGTCTGCACTGAGGGTAATTCTTGTGTCACTTTTATTTACCACATTTCCATTTTCTTTTAATTACCACAAATTCTGCTGTAATATCAAGCATCTAATTATTATTTTTTGAAACACATGCTTCCCCCTTTGTTCTAGGGCTATTTATTTTCAGTTGTTTTCATGGAGAGGCTTGTAGTCTGCATAGAGCGTATTGTACACTCCGAGTTGTGGGAATAGTAATTCCTGATGACAGGTTGCACAGATGGGAGTTGGAGGAGTCTTTTCCTGCCTCTTCAAGTAGTCATATTTATATGTATGTATTTTTTTTGCTGGTGCAATATGGACAGAAATTATTGAGGTATCTGAGGAAGAACTGAGTGCTCTACAATCCTTTTGTGCCATCAAAATAAATCAGCTCCATAATACGCCAAGCCCAATGCCATTGAAGAGGAGCAAGCATAATGAACAGAGGCACACATTCACTTCAGAGAAGCCGTTGACATTTGATTTGAATTGCACTGTCCCTGATCAACTACTGAACAGACTCCGTCTGAAAAATATCAAGGAGATACTGAAACAGGTACTAAAAGAAGGAATGGATCTGTCTTTAGTTCCAGGAAATGTTCCTGGCAAATGTTGATTATCTTTGCTAATACAGATGTTGAGACTTGACAGGTACTGATCCTTTTATGTATATTATTGTCATTAAATGACAAAGTTCTTTTCTTAACACTGAAACTAAAACATGAGGTTGGGCTTGTTTTTTCCTTGCATTACTAATGCGATCCATATTTCAACCAAACTATTTTTGTTTACCATCACATGATCTCACAAAACACATTAATGTGTACATTAGTTCAACTCAGCTCTCTTAAAGTTTTTTAACATTCATGGTATTGGGAGCTTGTTTGTTTTTTAAAAATGAGGCAAAGCAAATTTGTGTTGTGATTAATGTAATTAACTCAAGTTCTTCTTTAGTGCCTTTTTTGTTTCAGACTACTCTTGAGTATGAGCAGAGGTGCTCTGTGATGTCATGATTCCAAAAAGATGGTGATGGTAGTGCAAAAATTGCTCATTCCAAGTCTTGCTCATTCAATTTTGTGTGAAAGATTAAATGCCCCAAAAGCACTATAAGAATGTGTCCTTAAAAGAGGACTTGTACTCAGCAAAACCCAAGCCCAATTCTCTGTCTGATTGGGAAGCCAAATGCAGTTATGAGTTTCAGCGATGCCCTTGAAGGATGTTCTGTCTTCTGGCCACATCCTCTGTTCTTCAAAGAGGCCTCCTTTTCACAGGGATGTGGTGGGATAGATGAGATGTGTAAATTTGATATGTGATTGTCTTATGCAGGAATCTTATGTGTAGGTCTTATGTGTTCATATGGAGGACTTTGGTAAAATAAGCCTAACTTGCTTATTCTTGGTCCAGTAGTGAACCCACATTAATGCATGACTTATAACATTTAACCTCACAAGCCACATAAGTGGGAATATGTACTTGAACTGTGCAGCAATCTGTCCTCCAGTTTTCCAAAGGTTTCTGGCCCTGCAAAAAAAAAAAAAGGCTTTAATTCTTCTGACTCATTCTCAGGGCACTTTACAGCGCAGTCCTAACATTGCCTGCTCATAGGTAAGTATAAACTGTGTTATTCCCAAACAAGCATGTGTAGGATCAGAAACTTAATAAGTGTTTCAGTATTTCTTTACAGTGGATCCCTTTTTTAAAAAAGTTAGTCTTTTTGATACCTTTCGGTGGCCAAATGTTTTGGGCATGTTTGCTTACTACAGGAAAAGATGGGTACATACCAGCCATTAAAATACAATAGCTTCAAAAGAATAAGACCAGCCTTAAGTGAAACAGAGGTAGTCTGACTGCACAGGGTATTACATGGGGGAAAAACAAATGTAAATTTAAAAAGTAACTTGGACTTGGTTATTGATCTCATTCTGCGGGGAAAGTTTTTTCATTAAGTAGTTTGCATTGCCTTGGAGAGCATGACATGTATAAAAGTTAGACATAGACAGTATTTTAATGATTTTAATAGCTATTTCTTACTTTGCTCTCAGGTAGCAGACACTGAAATGCATCAACCTTCACAATGTGCCCATTGCACCAAGAAAAGGGCAGAGCTGGCTGATGATGCATTTCTCCGACGAGGGAAGGCCTTGATGGAAGAGGTTTTACTTAAAGAGAAGTTGGAAGACTACATGTATACCAAAGTAAGTCAGGATTTAGGTGGAGAGAGAGGCATTTTAACAGCATAACAAATAAATATAGATGAATTAGATTCCTGTATCGCAGGGGGTTTAACTAGATGATCCTCAGGTGCCTCCCAACTCTACAACTCTATGATTCTATGAGTATACTTATTTACAAAACTTTGGATTGCCCCAGGTGTCCATGCAAACCTTTTGTTAGTGGTTTATGGCAGACAAAGCAGAATAAAAAGAAAGCAGCTCCCTTCCAGTTTGCAAAGCTTTCCTGTTTAATTCTTGTTAGGTGGTTCTTGTTCCTGTCAGTTGCATGCAGTTGCTCTCTCTTTCTGTTTTCCTCTTTTGCAGCATGTGGAAGATTGACACTTTACTTTACTGCACAAACCTCATGAAAAAAACATGAAGGTCAAGCAGGACTCAGAAAAACTGGCTTTCTTGTTTTTTTATCTTGGTGAAATGGTTGTGCAAATTCCCCATGTGCAAATTCCCAATTGCACTGCTGTACTTACCAATTCTACGAGGGACACAGGTGGCGCTGTGGGTTAAACCACAGAGCCTAGGACTTGCCAATCAGAAGGTCGGCAGTTCGAATCCCCGCGACGGAGTGAGCTCCCGCTCCTCGGTCCCTGCTCCTGCCCACCTAGCAGTTCAAAAGCACATCAAAGTACAAGTAGATAAATAGGTACCACTCCGGCGGGAAGGTAATCGGCGTTTCTGTGCGCTGCTGTGGTTTGCCAGAAGCGGCTTAGTCATGGTGGCCACATGACCCGGAAGTTGTACTCCGGCTCCCTCGGCCAATAAAGTGAGATGAACGCCGCAACCCCAGAGTCAGTCACGACTGGACCTAATGGTCAGGGGTCCCTTTACCTTTACTTTACTTTACTTACCAATTCTAGCCTGTATTGATAGCTTTAGGGCAGCCTTCCTGAACATGGTGCCCTCCAGGACTGTAGCTCTCATCAGCCGAGCCAGGACAGCTGAGCAGGAGACTAATCGGAGTTGTAGCCCAAAATAGCCGAAGGGCACCAGGTTAGAGAAGACTTCTCTAGACATTTCCTGGGATGTTCCAGCCCTTTCCTTCTCTGTGGTCCAAGCCCCCATTTGGGAACCAATTTAACTGTTCTGTTTCCAAATAGCATTGCTTTTATTTCCATTTCTTTTTTTTCCTAACCCCTAGTTGCAGATGGGGGATATCATGATCAGAAGTGCAGGGAAGGGAGTGTTTAACCATTTCCCCAGCACAACCATCCCACTGAAAATTCTACTGCAATCAGTGCAGTAGCGGTCTGCAAGATATAAATGGAGAACATAAGAAGAACTCAATTATGGTTACTATGGGCAGTCTATGAACAAATGAACCTGGCATGCACCAAGTCTGTCTACTTGAGCCTGTTTCTGTCCTCATACTAGCAGCAGTACTTCCAGGTTCTAGGCAGAGGGGCTTTTCTAGCCCTGTTACTGAGAATAACCTTTAATGGAAGGCACCAGGGTTTGGACCTGGGACCCTCTGCATGTTCTCTTCCACTAAGCCTTTCTGTCTCATTGGTACAGGGATTTTGTTGATAGAAACTTCGTTTGCTCATGCATTTCCCCGCTGTGTTTTCTTGCTGATGCTCAAAATGTATGTCACTGTCCTGGATAATAACCTGTATTTGCTTAATCGGTTTTATATTGCTTTCACAATATATCCAGAGTGCTCAGGGTAGGGAATAGCAGTCATACATTTAATGGAAGAGTGGGTGTTCAATAGAACTCACTGTGCTGAATGTTGTGTCTGGTATCTTATTCATGACACATGAACAGTACATGAATTATTCACGGTACATGAACGTTACATGATAGTAATATTATAAAATACTTTCAGTAGTCAAAGCATTTTGTATACATTACCTAGTTGCTGTATTTGAGGCAGCCCTGTTAAGTCAGTTTTATTGGTTTGTTTATTTATTTGTTTAAGAGTATTTATACCCCGCCTACTAACCAAAGTTCTCCAGGCAACTTACAGTATATATTCAAATAATTAAAATAGATGGTGATACAGAAGTCACTACAGCAGAGCAAAGTTTGTCAGTCCCCACTGCTGCTCTTCTCCAGCATTCCAGCAAATGCCATTCAGCAGCTGAACCTTCTTGCTGTTGAAGAGACTAAATGTCAGTCACATACAGGCCAGGATGTCCTCACTGGGTTGCTGCTACTGATGTCTCTCCCAGGCCCGGCTCTGGGTGCCTCCCTCCCAGTTCTCAGCTAGAAGGTCAAGCAGTCTTTAATTCAGTCCATGTCTCTTTTGGTCTAGGGGTTTCAGGACAGCACTTGAAGGGGTTCCCTTCATGGGGCTTGTGGCGGCCCTTCTTGGGAGCCTTGGTCCCATGTTGCAGATGGGATGGGCACTGAAGCTGAGAGCTCACCTAGTGAGCACATGGAAGAGCAGGGATGGTGAACCAGTTACCCTCTAGGAGTTATTTGACTTCAACTCCCATCAGCTCCAGCCAGCATGGCTCAGTGGTCAGAGATGATGGGAGTTGTAGTCCAGCAACATCTGGAGGGCCACATGTTCCCCATCCCTGTGATAGAGACAAGATTCAAACCAGAGACTTCTGGATTCATAGCTTAGTTTCCTAGTCATTATGCTGCAAAGATGAATAGAATTTCATTTGTTCTTCCATACTCTGGAATTAAGGCATATGCATGGAAATTGCAGCTATAGCAAGCATTACTACATTAAAAAAAAGTAATGGCAAGAAGCTTTTGTCCGAAGGAAAACCTCTCATCACATCTTTCTCTCCTTCTAGGATTCTCTCACCCTCATTGGAGAAATACACAGATGTCTTCCGAAGCTGTCTGAGGATCCCAGGAACATATGGCAGGAACTGAATGAGAGAGGTCTGAAAGTATAACACCTAGATGGGTTAGAACATTGATCAAATCCGCACAAACTGAGCTATGCAGGATATATTGGACAAACTATTTTCTGGACAGATATGCCCCTTGCGATTGATTTGGTTTCTGGGGTCCAACTCTGCATCCTGCCCAGAGTCGACAGAGCAATATGCTGCCATCTAACTAAATATTTTTTTCAGATTATAAAAGGTAGTTTATTCTCATTATCATTCTTATAAGCCATAAGTATGGTTTTGGTGAGTTTCCTTTCATGATTTGGGAGCTGTGCACAGTTGCTTCTACCTGTAAGGAAAACAAATGGCTTTTTTGAGGCAGAGAGATATAAGGAAGATTAGGTTTCTGCACAGTCTGTGTCTGCTGCCACTGCTTAAATTGAAAGCTGGAGCCCCAGGTAGAAGGAGAAACAGTGGATCAAGAGGAAAGTTCCAAAGGAAGAGCAGAAGAGGTTAAATGGAGTGGGTTTTCTCTCTCTTTCTGAAAACACTAACAATATGAACTGGAATTAATCCATTACCCCGAGGATTCCAAGACAAGAAGCAGAGATATTAAAAAAGTAATGTTAGTTTGTTGAACAAAGCAGTTGACAAAACTCGAATAAAATGTTCAAATGCTGTTCTTACATTTGCTTTGTTCAATGTCAATTGTTTTTTCCTGTTGTGAAATGTGCAGGGAATATGATTGAAGGGCAGAATAAAAACATAATAATTGTCTCTCGAGACAGATGGATGCCAACCAAGTCCAAAGAAAAGAGGTTTATCTGTCTCTACAAGGGATAAAAGCTCTGAGGTGTGTAGCAAAATCAGAATGTCCGCTGCTGCTGGATACACTTATCCACATATTGTATGTATGAGACCAATCATGGGTGGACCTGAACTAAGTGTATCACCAGGGAGTTTGGGAGAATGTGAGGCTAATGTCCAGTATCAAGATGAAGGTGTACCAGGCTTGCATGTTGAGCATGCTGGTGTATGGAAGTGAGTTTTGGGCAACTTATACCCACCAGGAGTGATGCCTAAAAGCCTTCCATATGCACTGTGTCAGGAAGATTTTGGGCATCACAAGGCAAGACAGAGTTCCAAACAAGGATGTGGTCTCCCAAGCCCACATTCCCAGCATGTTCTGTCTCAGCAGTGTCTATGCTGGCTTGGTCATGTCCACAGAATGGAAGATGGAAGGATCCCCAAGGATGTGCTCTGCAGGGAGATGGCTTCAAGCACCAGTAACTCTGTGTTATAAAGATGTCTGCAAGTGTCACATGAAGGCTAGCAGCATTAGCCCCTTGCAGACGATAGTGCCTGGAGACAGTCAGTCTGGTTGTGTATCCAGCAGTGACCAGAGTAGGAATGACTGCTGGGAGGAGCAAAGAGAGAAGAAATGCCATGGTGCATCTGCAACAACACAACCAGATGCCTTCATCTGTCCCAGCTGCAACAAAACATGTCTCTCATATTGGTCTGTACAGCCACAACAGGTGCTGTAACTCTCCCAACAGTTGGGCTTCACCCCTGAAGACACACTCTTCCATTGCCTCCCAAGACAGATGAATGCCAAGAACAAGCAACATTCTGCACAACTCATCTTAGTATGATATTCACATAGTCCCTTTTCACTTGCAGTAATAGCAAGATATTCCTCATCCATGTAACAGAAGGAAGAAAATACCCTTGATGTTGTGGCATGGTTGCCAGATACCAGTAACTGAACCTTGGCTTTTTGCATCCAATACATGTTTATCTACCACTGAACGTTACAAACAAATGTCTGTTTTTAATATGTACTTTTTACAACACGTTACTGCACAGAAGTACACATATGTTACTGTGGGTACAGCTCATATGTTCAGAAAGTGGCCGTCTTCAAACTCATGCCATTTCTCGTTACAAGCTGCAATCCAACATTTATTTTTTTGTCTGTGTGGCAACTGTTTCTTCTACCATTGTGGGTTGACTTGGTCACAGAGATGTGAAAAGGAAGCTGATGCATTGGAGAAAAGAGCAAAACCACAGGAGGAAAAGTTGTGGTTACTTTTTCTTTCATTTTTTTTAAAATGAAAGCTGGGGAACCAGTGGCTCTTTTAAAATGAAAGCTGGGGAACCAGTGGACTCCAACTCAGCCAGTGTAGTCTCCCCACCAACATGGCCAGTGCTCATGGATGATAGGTGTTGTAGTCCAGCAACATTTGGAGGGCCACAGCAGGTTTGATCCCCATAAGGCACAACATGCTTATTCCTGCATTGCAGGGAGTTGGACTAGATGACCCTCAGGGCCCCTTCCAACGCTATAATTCTATGGTTCTGTGATTCAGTTTCCTCATCTATATTACATCTAAACTGGGTTAAAGCAGGTTCCTATATTCCTAAATTGAGCCTTGCACAGTCCGCTACTATGTACCCTGCTTCATGTCAGATTGGTTGTTATCACAGAGCAAGTGAGACCTAGCCCAAACATGAGTTCCCTAAGCACAAGGTATCTTCTTTGTCCTTGTCAGGACTCCCCTTTCCCCCCTAATGTCTCTGTGATGGGCTAGTGCCAGGACTCAGCTGCTTTCCCCTAGTGCTTATGCACTAGATCTGGGAGTTCCTGTATGAACACAGTGGGCAAGTGTGTGCCACCTGTTGACTGCTACCAGTGCCATCAGCCTGACTTCCTCTAATGTGTTTTGAGCCACCAATATGCCCTACTAAGGACATTCAAAGTGTATCCTTCTTAAAGACATAAGTGGTCACTGCTTATATATTTATTTTATTTAGTAATAAAATAATGTTCTTCTGTTCCCACTTATAATCATGTGTATGATCCATAAATACATTTTTCAAAATATCTCTGTAGCAATTAAACAAGAATTGCCTTTTAAATCCACATTTTAGTATTCTTAATAACCATTTTATGTTTTGAATATTTTTTTTGTTAGTTTCCTTCTGCAGGTTTTTTTTTTTTTTACAATGGTCACATTTTTTTGCCCTCAAAGAAAGACTTAGATCATTCTCACAGTTTTACAGCTCATTGAAAAATATGCAATACACTAGCTAATGATAATTGCAAGCAAGCTATATATACTTTAGCAGGATGGTTGAATGTCTATATATACATGCTACGTACTAAAACCCTACTAAAACAAAAACAAAGTCCAAAACTTGTTCTGATGTTATATCCAACACTCCAGCTAGAAATAATTTCTTGAGTATTCTACTCACATCAAGTCACTGTCTTTTGCATTATGTCAATGTTGTAAGCTATGGAAATAGAAGCATGCCACTGTAAGCTTGGCTAAAAGGAAGAGTAAAGTGGGTTTCGGTTTGAAAACAGGGTTGCAAACCAGTTAAATAAATCTTAGTTGATTAATCATAATGAGTTTTAAATAGGTCTGATTATGAATAAAATAAATCATTCTGAAGGGGGAGCAGAATTTTCTGTTGTGTATATTGGCTATTTGAAGTGGAAGCCCAAAGTCCTATTTAACATGTGGAATAGATGCCTGTTCTTTTGGATCCCAGGCCCAGCCATAGGAGTTAAAATACTGGCCTTTAAACTATTCCAATGAAATTAATGCATGTCAGGTCTGGAAATGTAGTTATATCCTGAGGGTGCTTTGCTTGCTTTAGGGCAGGGGTTAGCAACCTAAGGCCCATGGGCCACAAGTGGCCCATGGGGGTTGTTTAACCAGCCCACGAGCCACCCCCTCGGCGAGTCCCTACGCACTGCGCTATACCGACACTGCGCAGGGACTCACTTTTGCAGTGCTGGAAATCGCATCTGCGCAGACACCGAAAATTGTGTATGCACAAACGCAGATACCGGAAATCGCAGGCACATGCACGATCCAGCCCACGAAGGGATCTCCGCTGGAGTGAACCAGCCCAGGCAAGGTAAACTTTGCCGACCCCTGCTTTAGGGCTTTAGCAATTCACTAATCCTAGGTGAGTATCTACATTCATTTGTTTGTAAATAGGTTTCTCACCTTGTGAAAGAAGTCCCAATGCTTGTTTTCAAAAATATATGGAAGCAGAATTAACAACAATTTGTTTTTGTGTTTTTGGTTTGTGTGTTTTTAAAAATGTTCCTTTTCCATTAAAAATTATGTGGTTCTCTTGCAATATGGAGATACTATTTTTTTTAAAGAACAAGGGAAGAAGGTCTCCTTACGTAGCTAGAAATCTTTATTTAAGAGGGAGATGTTAGCAGGTTGCGGAATTGCAAGAAATACACCCCCCCAAAAAAACTTAGTAAAATCAACACCTATGGGAGGGATGGGTAGCACCCTCTCCCTGCTCCCAACTAAAAGCCCAATGTGGACTGAGCATGTCACAGCAGGCAGTGTAACCTTCCAATAGTTTGACTTCACCCCCAAAGGCATACTCATCCATGTTTCCCGAGACAGATGGATGCCAACCTTGTCTAGTGGCCATAGAATGCTGTCTGACTTGCGGGGAGGGAGGGTGAAAACTGTATGAGGAGGAGAATGGAGTGGCTGAAAAAGGAGGAAGAGGCACAAAGAAGTTTTTAAAAAAGCAGACAGGGCCAACTCATTGGCTAGAATGGACATTTCCTGGTTCCCTCTCAGAAGCCATTGTAAAATGTGAAAGCTGCCTGTAGAAATTGATGGAGAAATCCAGTATTTAATGTTGCTGGGGTGCCAGTGTGTCTACCTCACACCACAAAAAAACAAAATGGAGACCTGCGGGTATAGGACGGTATATAAACTCAATAAAGAAGGAGGAGGAGGACTGAGAATGATTAGTGGTCAAAGAATGCTAGCAGTGTGTGTGTGTGTGTGTGTGTGTGTGTGTGGAGTGGACTAGCTGGAATCCTGAACAGAAGGTGAGCTACACTGCAACATTTTGTTGCAGTATCATCTTTGTTACAATTATGTCTCACCTTGTATTGAGTGTCGCCTCTGAAAAAATCTGTGTTAACACACATTTCATTTATTTTTACAATGGGATTTTCACCCATCTTCTGTTTGCTTCCATTGCGTTTAATGGAATTCCCATTAAGATCAGTGGAATTCTGCATTCCAAACTATTTTATCAGAGGCCTTTGTGCTATCCTTGATCAGGCAAACCTTTTGCTAGTTTCAGAAAGGTAGGTTTCACCTTTAGCTGCGGAAAAGTCAGAAGATTCACATGTGATTCAGTTAGAGCTGGTGCGCCCATGAGGCAGGGTGAAGCAGCAGTCTCAGGTGGGGGAAGCCCTGAGGCAGCAACCCTAAGGGCACTTGCCCTGCTGCTGCTGGAGAAGCAGTGCCAGTATCAGCACTGCTTTCTAACGAGAGCTCACCAAAATCTTACAAGATTTCACAGAGCACAAGGAGTCATTGCTTCTCCACCAGTGGCAGAGGTGTGGAAGTGGTGCCAGCAGAAGTGGGTGGTGCTGGTAATGTGGCACTTTCCATTTCACCTCGGGCGGTAAAACAGGATGTGCCACACCTGATTTCAGTGCTGGATCCGACCTTTTGCAGCAACTGAGTTTAGAGCTCTTTGATGTTGGTACCAAATTTGAGATGAATAAAAGATTGCCATCCTCAAACCAGCTCCTCCAGAGTAACCCTATAGCAAATTATGGGACCTTTCCTTTTTAGTCCAGTTTGAATGTTGCAGCCCATAGAAAAGGGTAGTAAACAG